CAGATAACAGACAGATAACAGACAGACAAACAGACAGACAGACAGACAGACAGACAGACAGACAGACAGACACACAGACAGACACACAGACAGACAACCAGACAGACAGCCAGGCAGACAGACAGACAGACAGACAGACAGACACATATCGACACACACACACACACACAAAACACACATAGATGCGAACCGTGGCTGAGACACTGTCTGGCAGGGTGTCTTTCGTAAAGATTCGTCTGCGCGGGTCTGATACAACGGAATTCGCCGGAAAAAGGTCTGAGCATCTGGCACCAGCCGTCACATGACCGAAATGCTAGCATTTGTATCGTACCTTCCTGAAACCTTCAAGGCGAACTATAATGCATAATGCAGGGGCCTTAATAATCAGAACAGGGTTTTGGGGTATAGTATATGCTATAATGATACTAAGGAACCCTAAGGAATAATGTTGGTAGTTATTTAGGCTCCTATATTGATGTCGCGACGCTAGACCTGTAGAGCTTAGCAACGAGGTCCAAATGCACCCCCCCCCCATGCCAAGCCCCGACCGAAACTCCCGAGCTAGCTGTACTCATGACCCTCAGGATACTGGCACCAATCGCTGCATGCTCAAGAACTTGGAAGTGCACTAAAGAAAGAGTCTTTCACTTTCAAGACTTTGGCGTTTTGGTTTAGGGCCTAGGTTTCGGGTTTCACCATAAGCACAAATCAACCCCCTTCAAATCAACGAGCAAAACCCCAACCCTTGAAGCCCTAAACCCTAAACCCTATAAACCCTTCAAGCCCTAAACCCTCTAAACACCCTTAGAGCCCTAAACCCTACGAACATACACCCTAAATCCTAAGCCCCACGCCCTAAACCCTAAACCCCCCGAAACCCAAAGCCCTAAACCCGAAACCCTAAGCCGCAAAATCCAAAGCCCGAAGAGGCCTCCACAGTGCGTGCGAAGCAGCGCTTGCTCGAGCGGCGGGCGGTTTCCTTGGATTATTTCTCTAAATTACTGTACCCTTTAGGGTCCTTGTTCTAAGGGTGCCGTAGTATTTTGGGGACCTAGAAATATAAGGGACCTTAATTTAGAGAACTACCCATAGGTTCAGGGTTCAGGGTTTGAACCCTACCTAGAGTCTCCATTGTAGATCTTTGCTTATAGTTAACCCAATTTGATAGTCGGGACCATGCCAGGTAACCTAAAAGGGAACCGGGATTGAACCCTACCAGCGTCTCAATTGTAGGTCTTTGTTTATAGACCCCATTAGACAGCAACTACAGTGGAGACTACAAGTAGGTTTTAAAATAGGGCTGGAGGCTCTTACGGCTTATGGGGTTTAAGGTTCTTTCCCCTAAGGGTCCAAAGGACCCAATAATTAGGTACTTTGGTTACGTAGAGTAGTTATCTAGGTTAATATTTGGGAGAGTATATGATTAGGTACTTGGACCCTTAGGGTTCTGTATAGGGCTCTATAGGCCGGGGACTCCGGCGGTGCTCTGTAGGCGCATCCCAAATCATTGGGCTCGTGAAAACGAACACAGAGCCACCCTAAACCCTAAACCAAACCCTAAACCCTTAAACCCTAAACCCTAAACCCCAAACCCCAAACCCTAAACCTTAAACCCTAAACCCTAAACCTTCAACCAGGAACGTACAACATCCAAGCACAGCAAGTCTGGGCCTGGACTTCTTAAATTCTGAGGCATTCGGATACTTCTGACTCTTATGCCTAAACGCCTAAACCCCATTCTCTGAAACTTTCCAATTCGAAGGTCCTAACACACACCCTAAACCCTAAACCTTAAACCCTAAATTCAATCGCCTCTGAAAGCCCACAGGATACTGTAGAAACCTCAGCAGACCCTGTGAGGCACACTCAATGCCCAGTAGAGAAGCAACAAGCTCATACTCCTCTGCAAGTGTTGAGGATTTGCGGGTGCAGGTTAGCACCAGGACGTAATATAGGGGCTTTGAAAGTACGAATAGGGTTTGGGACAATTAGACTATAGTGAGGAACCCCAAAACCCTATTCTAATTATTAAGGCCCCTACATTATTCGTGGAAGAAGAAACCCTTGAACTGTCCCAGATCCAGGTATGCTCTTACCCCCCTCCCCAAGCCACAACTCCCCAAACCCATCCTGGAAGCCCAGTCAGTATAGTGCGTTGCTGTTCTTTGAACCCTACATAGACCTGAAAAGCGCCCTAAATCCAGCAACTCAACTTCAATGGTAACTGGCATCTTTTCAAAGATCGCCCTAAACCCTTAACCCTGCAAAACCCGTACAGGCCTCTGCAAGATACGAGGTGCGAAACCCTAAACCCTGAACCGTTGAGGGTTCAGGGAAAATCCCCATGACCTAGGCCCTGAAATGCTAAGCGGGCTTCAAGCTTCAAGCTCTCTAGCCGTTAGAGGTTTTCATCCTTGTAGTCACCCTGAAAGCAAGATCCCTATAGTATCGCTTAAAGTAAAGTCTCATAATAAATCCCTGAAGCAGTAGTGGCACTTATAATAACCTCATACAGTCACCCTTCTAGGAGACTTCGGCCTGGGGTCGGGCCTTGGACCTCCATTCTACTTCCTTGTCAGCGAATACTTATCATAGGAACCCTAAAAAGATGGTGATTTTTTAGCCAGTGTAGGGGCCTTAAGAACTCGAAAAGGGTTTTGGGGCCCATTGTACTGTGAGTATACTAAGGAGCCCCCCCTCAAAAAAAAATAGCATAGGTAATTTTTTTAGGACCCTAAACCCTAATACCCTAAACCCTAAACCCTAAAAACCCTACACCCTAAAAACCCTAAACCCGAAAAGGCTGGGGTTTACGGTGCTGGAAAGGAGGCCCCGTGGTTTGGTGAGTGCTTTGCACCAAGCCCTCAACAGGGGCTCAGCTGTTAGGCTCCTATTTAGGGTTTAGGGTTTAGGGTTTAGGGGGCTCCTATAGGGTTTAGGGTTTAGGGTTTAGGGGGCTCCTATAGGGTTTAGGGTTTAGGGGGCTCCTTTGGGGTTTAGGGTTTAGGGTTTAGGGTTTAGGTGTCAGTCGAAATTTAATGTAGGGGCCTGAATAATTAGAATAGGTTTTTGGACAGTGTTAGGGGGTCCTTTATACTGTCGTTTTCATAAGGAGACCCTAAAATAGTATTGGTAATTATTTAGGGCACTACATTACCCGGTTTATAGGGCTCAGGGCTTATAGGGTTTAGGGCTTAGGATTTTAGGGTTCAGGGTTTTAGGGTTTTGGGGGTTAGGGTTTAGGGCTTGGCGGTTTAGGGACTAAAGTTGTAAAGAATCTCTCATGTTTAAAGGGATCCTCACCACAAGCATGTGTTGAAATCTATAGGAACAGCTCTGTCCGACGCAGCGTTCGCACAGTAGTACTCCCTTGTAAATCCTTTCGCATAAAGACCTTATGGGCTGAGTACCCTAGCCCAAAAAAGGTTAACCTTTTCAATTATGGTAGGATTATATAACCCTAAGGGTCCAAAGGACCCAATAATTAGGTACTTTGGTTACGTAGAGTAGTTATCTAGGTTAATATTTGGGAGAGTATATGATTATTAGGTACTTGGACCCTTAGGGTTTCAATTATGGTAGGATTATATAAGCCGCAAAAGGTTAAAGGTTACCTACTCAGCCACTAAGAGACACAACCGCGACAATCCGCAAAAGGCAAGACTCGCTCACCACATCGACGATGGCGCTGACCTTGTCGTGCACGAGCTTAAGACCATTTAACCATCAAGGGCATTTGGAGATGCTTGGCACACACACACACACACATTCTGGCGACTGCTAACGTGTAGGATCGAAGCGTTGAAGGGAATATGCAATTCCTAATCCTAAGTTCGCAGAGGCCAGCCTCATAAGTACAAGGCTCAGGGACGATTTGAGGTCGAGGCCGCAGACCAATGCACTTTCAGTCATCGGAATGCTAAACTCCGAACATACCTGAAGCCTGAACCAAAACCCTAAATCCTAAACCCCTAAAGGAGATGCAACCAGGTTCTTCGAGCTGGAGGTTCTGAAGCTTCGGAAATTCCGGTATCATGCAGCACCATAGCTTCTTGTCATGGGAGCCATGCCCTTGTGTGGTAGTACTATTTTGGATGCTGTTCCCTGTACGCGTGCGCACATGTACTCATACGTAACACACCCAGGCTTGACTGAAGTCCAAGCCAACAACTCAGTCCCAACCCATGCAGCAAATCCAACCCCAACGCCAAAGCCAAAGCCACAAACATCCCGCAAGCCAGAACAATGAAACCCTAACCCTAAACCCAACACTAAACCCAATGCCACGGACACTGAACCCATGCCAAGCCTTGCAGCAACCTCGCAACACCTGTTTAAACTTTGCGATGACCCAAACCCAAAGCAGTCACTGAGGGGTGCACGTCACGGAAGCTTGAGACAGTGTCGATGGGGCAATGAACCTCAGGCCGCACTAAGAGTGCAATGCGGATAATGTAGGGCGTTACTAATTAGAATAGGGCTGTGGGGCCCCATTATACTATAATCATAATGAGGAAGCCCCAAAAAAGTACTGGTAATTATGTAGGACTCTATTTTATATGCACCACATCATCGGTCGAGGGTTTAGGGCGTACAGACCCTGAACCCTGAGCCTTAAACCTCAACTTCAACCCCTGAACCTTAAACCCTAAGCCTTAAACCCTAAACCCTAAACCCTAAACCCAAAACCCTAAACCCAAAGCCTTAAGCTCTAAGCCGCAAAGGCAGCTTGAGGTTTCAGTTCCGCTCAGATTAAAGTGGAAGGTAAGATAGCATAGAGACATAATGTAGGGGCCTTAATAATTAGGATAGAGTTTTGGGGCCCATTATACTAGAATTATAGTTAGGAGCACCCAAATAGTATTGATAATTATTCAGGCCCCTGCATGACCTACCCTAGGGCTCAGCTACCCAAATACTAAACATACATTATGTAACCCAGTAGCATATTATTTAGGCAACTGGAAGTCTAGAGATAGCTGAGGTACATATTTAGCCGGTAAGTATGGACTGAAACACGTGCCAGCTGCTGCACAGGTGAACAAGAGCAGATCCTAATAAGCACACACGGAAAGGATATACAACGATCCAGGACTCGTCGCAGTGAGTGGAACAGCTCGGAAGTTCGGCATGCTACATAGGAATTCAGTGATGGCAAACAGCGGCGAAGGAAACGAGAAACAACATCAAAAGCAGAATCATTCAAAATTACGAAAACGTCTGGAACATGAAACAGATCCCATTCACTCGTTCATGTGCAGGGCCGCGATCGCAAGTACAATGTAAGGGTATGCTCTGAAGCCTGGAACTTCCACTAGTAAATCTGTGACCCCGACTTTTTTTTGGGGGGGTTTAGGGTTTAGGGTTTAGGGTTCCTCATTATCATGATAGTATACTGGGGCCCAAAATTTATTACCAAGCCTCCTGAACAGAAGTTGTAAAACTGGAACCGAATCGCCACAGCTAGCCGAAAGCTAAGCTCAGACAGGAGGCGGCCAGCACGATGGGCACGTTTGCCAGTTGAGGGACTTCTCTCTCCAAGTACCAGTCGAAAACCCGGCCTCTGGGCTCAGGGCGTTGGAGTGAGACTTTGCTTCTTGAGATCGTCTGACTTTCGGATTTAGGGTGTAGGGCCTATAGGGATTAGGGTTTAGGGTGTAGGGTTTAGGGATTAGGGTTTTAGTAGGGTCTACATTGTAAGGCTGAGGCCTCACACCGATGGCACGAGTGCACAAGTGCGCTCTCTCATCTTTCAGTATCGTTGCAACCACATACACATGCGTAGTTCTCTAAATTAGGGCCCCTTTTTTAGGTCCCCAATATAGTACGGCACCCTTATAAAAAGGACCCTAAAAGGGACCCTGATTTAGAGAACCGCCCACGTGCAACACTTGCCATTGTACGTGCATGCAGGCTATCTGTATAGATAGACATGAACTTCTACTGCAGCAGTTCTATGCACAAGCCACAACTCGAGCATACAAGCTATGTGAGCATCATATGATGCATGACGGATGAACATACTATGTGTGCCCCGGCAATATCAACAACAGTATCGACAGTATAGAAGCAACAGTCGTATCAGGGCATTCGCCATACTAGTAGTGCTACCGATCCGCATGATCTCACTATCACACGTGTGTAGGGCTGCATTGGGGGCTTGGAAGTACGCGATTGGGGGATTGGGGCGTGGTGGTATAGGCAGGCACTTCGGAAAAGAGGGAGCAGCCACTCTGTTCCTTTCGAGCTCAGGCTAAAAAACCCAAAACCCTAAACCCTAAACACCAAAACCCTAAACCCTAAACCCTCAACCCTAAAAACCTAAACCCTAAACGCTAAAAGCCTAAACCCTAAACCCTCAACCCGGGGTTCTAGGACCAAGGACTTCGGGTGTATCGGCCTTAAACTTTCAATGACCCTGAATAGGGTTTAGGGTTTAGGGTTTAGGGTTTAGGGTTTAGGGTTTAGGGTTAGGGTTTAGGGCACCCCCCTGCTGCTTCTCCAAAAAAAGCTTCGCAGTTTGTGTCCCAAGGAGATCTGGGGCTGTGCCCCAATCAAGATTTCAACGTTTACGGTTTAGGGCTTAGGGTTTTAGGGCTTAGGGTTTAGGGTTTTAGGGCTTAGGGTTTTGGGCTTAGGGTTTAGGGTTTTAGGGCTTAGGGTTTAGGGTTTAGGGTTCCTAAGATCAGCATTTGTTGTGTTTGTAGTACTCGGTCCCAATATTCACTCATTACTGACGGTGTCCTGTTCTCGGTGCCAATACGAAGACACCAAAATGAAAAGGCCACAAGTGATCTGAGGGTATTGCCAAGGGACGGCAAGGGTCTAATGTAGGGGCCTTAATAACTAGAATCGGGTTTGGGGTATACTATCTATAGATATAATAAGGAACCCCTACAATTGTATAAACCCTAAACCCTAAACCTTAGGCCCCTATACTAAAGGGGCTTTTCCCAGAGCAAACCCAGGGAGCCGATCCCTGGCCCCAGACCGCAAAGTCGTAGAGGCACAACTACTAGTTTAGGGTTTAGGGTTTAGGGTTAATCCTGCATCACCCTGAGGACCCAAAACTATTGGAAATATGGCGTATTCCTTATTCTGGGTTATGCAGGATTTATATCATCAGCCGTAGTAAAGAAGCCCGGCTATAACTTCCTTACAGAAAACCCGCAGCGCAACTAGACTAAGGTCTCGACGCAGTCTAAACTAGAACCCCTACACTACTAAGGAGCCTTATATAGTAAACGCTCAACACCGAACTGAAGCCTGGGTCACCTAACCCCCAAACCCCTAAACCCTAAATCCCTACGCCCTAAATCTCTAAACCCGAAATCCCTAAACCCTAAACCTTAAACCTTAAACCCTCAACCCTAGACCCTAAACCCTAAACCCTAAATCCCTAAACCCTGGGTCATGCGTCTCTCGAGGCCCCCGAACTGAACAGCTATGTCGGTGGGTATTTATTTAGGCCCCATTGCATCCCATTATACTATAGTTATGATAGGATTCTTAACTATAATGAAAGTATACCGGGCCTTAAAACCCCATTCTAGTTATTATAAGGAACCCCCAAACTAGTATTGGTACTTATTTAGGCCCCTACATCACACCGAACCCTAAAAACCTAAACCCTAAACCCTACAACAACCCTAAACCTTAAACCTGAAACCCTAAACCCTACACCCTCAACTACGGGCCCTACATTGCATCCCAGTGACGTCCCTTGGGCTGTGGGGCTCCGGAGCTCTCCGTGGACTCACAGGTACCTCGGCGAGTCGGATTGAGGAATACACATTAGGGTTGGGGTTTAGGGTTTA